TGGCGATTGGTCTTATACCACTATTGACTCCTACACTCTAATAATGAAAATGAAATGCGCAAAATGCCATTTTGATGCACATATTTCAAAATTCCCTACTGTACGCGGAGGGGAAAACCCTCCTCCGTGAGAAATAGCCTTCATCACTGTCTTGGTCGCTTAACTCTTTCTCTTCTCCTGAAAAACACTTGCTTCGTACACCATTTTCACTGGTCTAGCTAAGGGTCCACCAACTGCGTCGTGTGTAACCTCAGAGCCTTCCGGCCACAGCCAGGGGCCATCATCCCACGTTGATCGGCATTGGAGCGGGAAAAAATAAAAAAGCGGAGAGAGGAGTTATAAGCGGATTAGATGCCACTTCTCATATAAGTTACCCCTAATAGCTGAATTTTAGTGCTGCAAAAAATGCATTTTCATGCACGATTTTCTTAAATCTCCTACCGTGGAGGGGGGATACCCCTCCCACACCCTACCCCCCTCGGTCGCTTCGCTCCCTCGCCTTGGCCCCCCCTGTTTCAAATTGCTGGCTACGCCACTGTGGGTGTGCTTGCATGTATATATATATATATATTATGCCTCAACGGTCAGCTTTAACACGAACGCAAATGTTCTAGGAATAATTAGAAGATAAACACCCCGTATTTCAAACGTATATTCGCGTTACTACAAATTATCGCTACACAGAACGCTTTGCGGTCGATGCGAACTTTACGATCGATCCTTAGAACGCGAAGGATCGAGTACCTTACGTTGCGTCCGCAAAGGAATATCCAGGTTTTTGACTGTCACTAGCACCAAATGTAATGTTTAAATTAAGACTTCACGTAGAAATTATGAAGTAGATCCAAAACTTGTGTGGTAACCGGAATAAACTTTAATAACTGCTCGCACACAGTTTGTCCATCTTGCACAAAGACAACGCAACGCGCACACGCGCGTGAGCGCGTGTGCTTCCTCTCGCGATCACCACCAGACTCCCGACCCCTACATCTCTCTTCTCTCTCCAAAACCCCGCCATAATCCCACATGTCTACACCCGCTCTGCTCACCACCCATTTCACAGTCACCCTAGAAAACCCCTAGTCTAGCTCCACTGACTACTCTATTTAAACATCTGTACATACACTCTGTTATACCAAACATTTGCGTTTAGCCGTTTCGCCTCGCTTCGTGCTTCGCACCTGCCTAATTCCAGCGGGAAGGCGACGCCACCTCGTTATCAAGAACGCGTACCTCCGTCTTTGTGTTGAAGTGTTGTCAACGACCATGCTAATCAAGACGGCTAGCATGTCCCATCCCATCGGAAGCTCTAATGGAATTGCAAGGAGACCCGTAATTATCCCCTTAGCCCTGTGGCTGCTTAGTAGTTATCGACGCGCCCTCGTGTATTCCCAAATATTGCCGAATATTCTCGCGTATTCTCGGTCTGTTGATATCAGCTAGGTCGCATCGTCTTCAGATATAACTACAATACACCACCACGCGTCTCATTCAAGTTATCTATCGTACGTATATTTAACGTGCGATCTATATATAGCTATAGATCCGCCCACAGTCCCCCACTTAATTTCCTCATCGCTCGCGTGCAGTACCTGAAAGATCCTGATGATGACTTACTTCGGTCGATCACGGGTTACGTGAGTCACCTTCATCGTTCACGGATCTCGCTGTCTTGGCATTGGCAGCGGAACTGCCTTGAGCAAAACCGGTAACACGCTGCGGTGAGCGATCAGCGTAAATGCGCGCTGTTTGCATGTGCCTCAACCACAAGCACAGCGTTCGCAGCAGTCGCACAGATACTCGTCACGCGGGATATATTCTACATACCTCGTCATTATTATATATACGCCCTTATCAGGATGAAAGATATCGAGCTTAGAGGTAGAGTGGTGATTTACACGATACAGGGCTGCAGCTCCTGCTATCGCGCGAAACGTACTCTGGCACGATTTGGTCTTCCTTTCGTGGAGGTTGACTTAAATCTTCACGCGGAACTGATGAATGACTTACTAACGTGGACGTCGAGAAACAGCGTGCCTCTGATTTTCTTCAACGATTTGTTCATCGGTGGAGTTAGAGATCTGGAAAAACAGGTGAGCTAGATTATCTCATAGGATCTTTATTATTATATTTCGATTACACCGCGTGCTACTAGCTTCGATTATATACTAAATATTGCATCACCCATAGTTTGTTATATAGTATCCTGTAATTTTATATAGTATATTATGTAATAATGCCCTACTTTAAAATGTCAACAGCAAAGACCATTCCCAACCGGGTATTGATTTCCTATATGATCCCCGTAGAATGTAGAGATATATAATAGTATATAATTATATATAATCGAGCCATGTATTGTTTACAAATCACCTTCATGTATCCGCCTGCAATGGTTTATACGTGTTTACAATGAACTTGTTGATTTACGCTCACGCAGGTCCAAATTACGCACCTCAACAGCTAAACTAACATATATACGCGTGTACTCAGTCTAACGAATGTATTACTGGGCAATAGAGTAAGCTCAAGTGATGTTAACACGGGAAGTGCAAACAATTTCACCGTGCCTGTGAGCGTGAAGCGATTTTATCAGCGCATTCACCGGACATAGATCTAGCAACAGAAGCGTGCGTTAGGCTCAGCCATACGTTTATACCGCAATTCAGCAGGAACATATCGGATTGGTTTCGATTTCAATAGCTACTCACAAAACACTCGATCAGCGATTTCATGTGTGCATGATATTACAATTCGATAAATATGGAGCTACAAGGTGAAGTGATTAAGCTAAAGGGCGCAATCGTGATTTTTACGATCCCAGTATGCCCATACTGTAGTGTGGCAAGACAACTTCTTCATGAAAACAGTTTACCTTATGGCGAAGTGGACCTCGAAAAACACCCTTCGCAAGTTACCTACCTGAAACAACTTACCGGAAGTTCCAGTGTACCACAAATATTCTTCAATGAACGTCGCTTTGGAGGGTACCAATTGCAACAAATTGTAAGTCAGAGTGACAGATGCCAATCATTGATAAAACATCAATCATTGATAAAATACACGCTCACCAATATTTTAATCTAGGCACGCACATATATATTGAAATGATACATTATAAATAATAGGTTCACGTAAATACCATCTCCTCTGTTACAAATGTACTTGTTGTAAGAGCAAATATTGCGTAGTCAGGAGTGATTACGTAACCCCTATCTCTGTAATAATATTTATGTTTGCCGTTTCCGCTGAAATGGATTAGTAGATTCAGGTTAACTCATCTGCTGTCATATGGCGTAATAGCGACTATTAGGTTATGAACTCATAACCTCGCAAAGAATATTCTTAAAAGTCTACAAATAAAGTGTAGTTATGAGTGTACGAAGGAAGGAGAGATCCGAGTGCAACGAACAGGCTTCGTCAAGCAAGAGGGAAGGCCAATCACCCCTGTCACTGAAATCTTTGGGTTTTTATAACCTTTGGTAAACGATTAATTTTAGAGCCAAATATAGCTTATCTTTATATTTAATTTGTCGTTTAATATTCTTATCTGCTTACAATATATTATTATTATACTTACATCATACTTCCCGTACGTACGTCACGATTACGTCAGTACGTCAGTACGTCAGTACGTCAGTACGTCAGTACGTCAGTGATTACGTCACGAATTTCTAGCACCATCAAGTAGTATATTTGTGTATTATTTGTACAAAATAAAATGTATGAAAATACAATTAGTGTTTCTGTTTACTTTTCATGCTTATATACCTTCTTTATATGCCCTAATTTGCCGGTGAAAAACAGAGAGACGCCAGTATCTGAACACTGGGGGAATAGTGTTAGACAACAGAAATTACCAAATCGTCTAGATTTTTGCAAATTTAACCAACGTAAAAACATTTTTATCAGGTGTATTTCTATTTCATAACTTCGGAAATCTTGGAGCATACGAACTTTTCGTGATGATATAATATTCGGATTAAAATAAATATGACGATAATTTATCATTTCAAACACTGGTAACATATATGTTAGGTCTATCTCAATGTATTTTAGGAATAAAACTTTTTGTAAAATCTCACCTTTAAGGGCTTTGTGCCAAGGCGCTCGCGGTGTGCGCGCACACTCTTCATATACATTATGATGGAAGTAACAGTGAAATCATCCCCCCCACAACTGAGGACCTGTCTACGCCATTCTGAACACTGGGGGAATAGTGTTAGACAACAGAAATTACCAAATCGTCTAGATTTTTGCAAATTTAACCAACGTAAAAACATTTTTATCAGGTGAGAGTTTGAGAATATATTTAGTAACGTTAGTTCTTACTTTTAATGTAAAAAAAATGGCAATTTTTTTTTACAAATTTTACCATGGAAAATTCGTGACGTAGTCCCTTTAAGATAGTTGTATATATTCGCGCGCGCGTGTGTACGTATGTGCGTGCGTGCGTGCGTATGTACGGCGTCACTGCGTGCTGTGTGTATGGTGTATTCGAGACATTTAGATTTTTGCCACCTGATGGCACCACTATGCAGTGCGATGAAGCGGGGCGGGCGGTGACTGCGTATGTTGTTGTTCCGGACCGTCTGCGAAAAATATTATATTGATATAATTTTGTTAATAGTAAATATATCGCAACATGAAGGGTAGAATTATTGTATACTCTATCGTTGGATGCGCTCACTGTATGGCAGCAAAACACACGATGAAGGAGCACGGTCTTCCTTATACAGATATAAGTCTGGAGGAGTACTCAGCGAGTGTGCGTCAAGATTTGCGGCAAATGACTGGAAAAAACACGGTTCCGCAAATTTTCTTCAACGACCGTTATGTTGGCGGCAACATCGAATTCCAAGATCTAGTAAAGTTTTAAGTAGTAACTAATAGGTGTAGCTGGAGACGATGTCGTCTATCGGTATCGTAAACTGGCGCTCATAGGGTCTGTGGTTCAACTTTCAAGGAAGGATAGAGATGATGTCCAGATTGAGACCTATGTCATTTTCGTAAATGGGGGGGGGTAAAATCGACAGGGGTGTTGTTGAAGGTGTTGTTTCTTCATTTCGACCGAGAAACATTATGTCAGTTCACAGCAAGTGTGGAAAAAACTCTGTTTAAGCGACACTATACTCACCCGTTTCCGACGGTTTCTCACCATTGCTACGCTCCTATTGCATACACAATGAAAATATCCCACCCCCTATTGCATACACAATGAAAGAGTCCTACCCGGACCCCTACGTACCCCCTATTGCGAGGTCTTGCAGACAAGTGGAGGGCAAAGAGTGGAGGGAATGGAGGGGGCCCAGGGTTCTCCCCAGGATGAAATTGAAACAGGGGGGAGGGGAGGGGGAGGTGGGTGGGTGGAGGGGCCTGGAGGGGGGAGGGGAAGGAAAGGGAGGGGAAACTAGGGGGGTCCGCGGGCGTGTTATTTTTACCGTACCACTAATTAATGCGTAAAATCGCCACCACACCATAGACGGTATTTGGGGTTCTTGTATATATAAGATAGCCGAGTCTGTGTACAGTTAGTGGTGGGTTCGGGACAGGTTAACTGTTTAAACTTGTGTATGGTCTGCAGTGCATGCGTGGTACGGTAAAAATACACGCGTCCGCGTACGCGTCCTGGTCGAATGGGAATTCTTGACGATCGATTCCCGCGCTGTCAAACTTTTATTGTGGTGGAATTTAATCGGGGCGGAGGTAATTTAAACGGGGCGCAACGATTGAAACAGGGAGGAGTTTTCCCAAACGGAGCGCGCGCGCCCCGTTTGCGCAACGTAGGGAGAACCCTGACACTAACCCTAACCCTAACCATATCAGCTAGATAGTTACCAGGGTACGTTCCGGTATACCGGACCGTACCCAGGGTACGTTCCGGCAGTACCCTGGGGGACACAGACCCTATCAGCCAAGCTAGGTCACACCCCATGGCTATAGCTAGAGTTATTTCTTACGCTGTGGCTATATGCCCGGCAGCCGGGCACGGTCTTCGTTTTCCTAAATCAGGGGCACGGTCTTCGTTTTCCTAAATGCCCGGCAGTTCTTAACCCTAACTCTAACCCTAAACCTAACAAAAACCCTAACTCTAGCCCTAAACCTAACCCTAACCCTAACTCTAACTCTAACCCTAAACCTAACAAAAACCCTAACTCTAGCCCTAAACCTAACCCTAACCCTAACTCTCCAAAACTCGAATTCATTGTCAGGCCGAAAATCCGTTTGAAGACAGACCTCTACAACATGCATGCTTATGTGATCACTACCGAACTGAGCATGGGAGTTTGATGATCATTAAAATGTGGCTGCCAATGAAAACATACATCCCGGAAGTTATATCCCGGAAGATACAATTAAGTTTGGTTAAAATACGATTAACAACATATTTATTCATATATTTTAATACGAGAAAGTTTATCAAAATATACCTTCTTTATATCAGATCCTCCTAGTGAAAAATTTTCGGTACCGGTGGTGTGGTCGTGCGTGGCCGAGGTAGCTCCGTAAGAAACCGCCGTAGCGCATAAAAAGACAAACGACCCGGTTCACGGGTTTTTTTGTTTTTCCCAAAATGTGACTCTTTGGAAATGTATTCTCATCATTTGTTTAATCTTCGGGCCAACACTATATATCAAGGCCGGTGTTCGCGTTCTGGAGAAACGCTTTCACGAACACATATGTACTAGTCGTGGTAAGAGCCCGTTTAGCGTATCTCTTGGCTGTTTTCTATTCGGCCACTAATACGCGCCTGTACACTTTACACGTTAGCGTTTAGAAATATCACGGTAGAATAACTAAAAAACCTCAGCGCCAGGCCACGCCAGACACTGAAAACGTGTAAGATTAAAGGACATCTACGAATGAACACAACTCTGTCTGATCCTATTACACGGAGTAGCGCATCCCGCGGCGACTGCTGAGTAGTTGAGGCCTTTTAAATTACGCGTGCGCTTTTTGTCAGATCTAATTATGGGCGATCGCAAATGTTAAGCAACAAGCGATTTCATAATAGTAAGAAGATATATTTTGCATTTAAGTAATATATGTTTCATGCGATGAGGCGGGCATTGGTGTAAGCCAAGAAAATACCGGTTCGATGCGATATCGAACAACCTACATACTCGTGAATGAACAATGGATATCGCCCATCGCGAGGGTCGAAAATGAAATTTACCGCCCCATTCTTACTTTGCCGCCTCCCATGCGTTACCCTAAATAGTTCTGTAAAAGCTGGTGACAAAGATGAATAACAGCGCAATCATGAGGTTCAACCGTGGCGCCTTACGTCTTGCCGTCGACTTGACTTGCTTGGCGCCGAACAAATTGCCTATTCATACTAAATAGTCGCAGGCTGGCTGCCCAACAACGATAAATAAACAATGTTCCTGTGGCGTTGAAATGAATGATGCACATGCGTTCCTACATATAGGCGGATACGAGCTATACACCGGTCTGGAAGTTCATCGTACGTTTCTTTATCGAGTTAGCGCATGCGCAGTGCGGCCGCCTCTTCCGGTCCGTGTGTACTTATAGCCCCCAGCGATTATCCCCCACTTGTTTTGATTAACTATCGGCGGGAATCAGTTGTAAGGGTGTACTTTTGCCAGCATCCGAGTCGGCCGGCCTAAAACAAGCCAGCCTGACAGCAAAAAAGACGCCACTCACTGCTCTACGGATTGTGCGCCAACAGGGCGCGCTGCTTTTG